AGATACTGATGTTAAGGGCTCCTTGTCCCACAAGTTCTGCCAATCTGCCTCTTCAATCACCATCTTGAGATCTGAGTCCCAAGTATGTTTTGTCAAATTTGTTTGGCCTAATTGCCTGTCAATGATTATTTTAATAATATATTCTTAGATTTTGCATTAGTGGTTGTGATTAAATTTTCAAATGGTGTTAAAGGTCTAGAAGCATGTGCAGTAACTGTTGGATTTGTTAGAAATGTGTATTTTGGTATATATTTAAACAATTCCTGGTGTTTTGTCTTGCTTTGAGTAATACTTATTCCCCTGTCAAGGTATGTCATCTGTGTAAAAGTTAATCTAAATAAATCTGTCTTTTTCCATTGCTCACACAAAGTATCTCTTTCTTCTGTGTAAAAAAGTAGGTGAAACATAGACAGTATCACTGGTGATGTTAGTGGCGTCAGTTTGTTTATCTGTGTTGGTTCCCCCCCCCCCCCCGCCCTCATATACATTTGTGGGAGTCCAAGAATTTTCAGTGCCAATGAAATATCATATTCCATATGTAGCCATGACTTGTTTTCTCTGGGTACATAAGTTTTTATATATTTTGCAAGGCAATGTATCATGGTATTTCTGCTGGTGGATGTCTAGGGTGCTTCCATTTGTGTATTAAATTAGTAACTATTTTCTCCCATCTCTCACAAAGTTTTAATGGGAATACAAATTGGAACTGTTTGAAATAAAAAGATAAATTTTGATAATAGCATCATTTTCACAGATGAAATTCTGCCTATTCAGGACAAAATCTACTAAGTAGTCTTAAACAAATCTTGGACATCATAACTACATAACCCAAATAGAATTTCAGAAAACAGGAGAAAATTCTTCAAGTTACCAGTCAGAATAGCCTGAGATGTTTTCTCAAAAGAAGCCAGGAGGGAAGAGATTATGGAGGAAAACAGAGATCTCTCCCACTGCCCTGCCAGCTGCTGGATAAAAAGTGGAACATGGAAGATAGGGGACAAATAAGAGCCAGATTCCAGCTACAGCACAACTGCAAATTAGATATCCATTTTCCTACCCAACCATGCATCCATTTTCTGTGCAATGATGCTGTACTGTGCTCCAGTATTTTAAGTAGTGAATAGTTAAGGCTCATCCTCCTCCTATAAATTTTTATTGTGCACCTTTAAATAATCTGTGTGCTTTCAGAGGATAGGGTGGGGACTCTTAAGAGATGCCAGCATGTTGACTTCTTGAATAACAACTTCACCAATGCCTTCAGTGCTACTGTATGCTGAAATAAGACAGAACAGAGGACAGTTTTAAATATTTGTTGTTGTAGTTATATATGGTGATTTCCTACCTGGTATTCTAGTCCAGGCTGAGACCTTGAGGAAGGTGTATTTTTACATTCACTATTTTTTTTTTCAGAAGCCTCATTCCAGAGGTGGCGCTATCAAGTGCAACAAGTGTGTTCTCTCTCTCTCTCTCTCTCTCTCTCTCTCTCTCTCTCTCTGTGTGTGTGCATGGAGAAATAGTATGATTAAAATGAATGTGAAAAGAACTACAAAATCATGAGCAGAAAATAACCATTTCATTTAGAAAAGGCTTGGGTAAATAAAAAGGTCTCAAGCATGCATTTGGGACAGTAGGTTGTTGGAACAAGCTTGATCTCACATTAAAGGGGCCACAGCACTGAAGTCACAAGGCAGAGAGAAGTAGCCCTCTTTGTGGCTGGGCATGGGCGTAGGGGGCAGGCAATACCCATACCCCTCTCGGGGGCCACTAGGGGGCGCATCGGAAGATGGCTGACAATAACATCTCTCCGACCCACATGAGGTAATTTGGAGGCTATGATGGGGGTAATTAGCCTCCTTAACCCCTCCAGGATTGTGGGGGGGACGGCCCTTGCCTGCTGTGCCCTATACCACCCCCGAATTTGTGGGGATGGGGGCACTAGGCACAAAGCCCTCCTGTGGGATTCCGGCACTCCTCGATGCCGTCTCTGATCCGCGCCACTAGTTTGCAAGAATCTTCAAAAGAAACAATTTGGACGAGATAAATTGCACATACTTCAAGGAAAGAGGGGGAGTAAAGACTGCTGACAGAAGAGATCTCTGATAAAACAAGACAAGAATAAGATATGAGAAGATACGTCAAGATACGGTACGGCAAATGACTGAGGGGGGAGGGGGGAAACCCTCCTTTATTTCTCTATGTGATTAAACAAGAATCCCCTCCCCTAATGAGTCAGAAATGTCGTTTTAAGGACTTAAGTTGTGGATTTAAGGCTGTGTGGAGATAAATTTTCGAACCAAAGCAATGTTCCAAGACGAAGCTGGAAATTTAAGAGTTTTGGAATGACGCAGTTAAAAATGCCGTCGCCATTTTGGGAGGCACTGTCGGAGCTCTTGAGTCTGGGAGGAGAAAGAGAGAAACAGAGTTGTTTACATATCGTGGATTAACTCCTCAGTGGGACTTAAGAGTGACAACTGCCTAATTTATGATGGAAAGAGCGATGTTATCTACGAAGGAGATGATATATGGAAACCATCTGGACTTAGATTGGAAGAACGGGAAATTCACACAGGATTATTATATTTGCTTATCGGCTTAAGGAGACTAACAGAAGAGATCGTAAAGGAAAAAGAGAAATTATATGAACAAGATATGATGTGGAAACACCAAGATAAGATTGGATAGAACTATGAACTCTGTTTGGACTGATTGGGACTGATTTGGACATTAATGCAGTAATAAGAAGATGATTTGAATCCCCCTTTGGATCTTGAAGTATGGGTTCCCCCAACAAAATTTAAAAATTTGGCTTTGTAATTTGGAATTTATGTGATGTGATTTAATTTGATGTGATTGGCCAGTTAATAAAAATTATTAAAAAAAAAAAAATACCCGTACCCCTCTCTTGGTGAAGGTCAGCCATCAGAGTGCCCAAGGCCAATTCAGTCCCAAACCCACTTTGGAATCCAGTCTGGTGAGGGTCAAAGTACTCAGTTTCATTCAACTGCAGCTGAAATGCAAGTGCCCTCTCAAGAGAGCATTCGTGATCCTGTGGAAGTTGTTGTGCACCATTGGATCCAGGGCAGGCTTTTTCAGAAGTGATCACATCAACACTCCCTTCAAAGTCGTAGGCACCACCCTCGTGCGCAATGACGCATTAGCTGCCCCCTAGACCCACCCGTCAAAAATCAGCACCACCAGTTAGTTTCAATCAGCCAAGAAGTGCAAAGAGTTGAGAGGACAGGTGTCGGGGCAGGGCTACAAGCACCTTGTTCACGTCACCAGCTTGGTGAAACTGATCCCACAACACTCGCGTGGCGCATTGGACACCTAGAGAGATTCTGCATCAATATCAGTTTTGGAGGTGAGCAACTTTATCCTCAAAGTGTCTTACAAAGAATTCACAAGTACTAGATAGCACAATTTCTTATATCTATTTATTTGCAAAAATCTTAGATATTGTTAGTCTGTTTTAAGGCAGTATCTATTGAGCTCAAGTCTACTGATTGTAATAAAGATGAATAGAAACGTGCTATGCTTGCCAGTATTTAGTTGGCAGCATGTGTGTTTCAACAGAAGTCTGATGAACAAAATGGTAAAGCTTTTCCTTTAATTTCACCTCCATGCTAGGGAAAACAGTATGTTTTATATTTCTGACTTTCAGGTCACTGCTATCAAAAATAGATTCTATATTTTACTGCATCTTATTGCATTAGTTACGAGTTACCGTAGGCCAGCGGGGGGGGGGGGGGATAGCTGAAACCTATGGGGAAAGATCTGTTAACTGTATCCTCAAATTCTTTAGAACTCATGGGGTGTGTTTTTTTGTCCCCACGGCCCTAAAATTATACAAGGCCAAAACGTTGGCACAGCTCCTTTATGGGTCCTTTTTGGGCCCACCATCCTCTTCTTTCACTCCCCTCGAGAGAATCCAATCTAAATTTCTCAGAGCCCTTTTACAAGTCCCCAGATGTGTTTCAAATGCATAGATTAGAAATGGGGATGATGAGAGTCGAGGCTCATATTAGCTTAACATCAGTCTATAAGTGGTTGACACTGAAATTGCTCCAAGGTATAGCTCCACTGATTCTTTGTGATCAGTTCGTCTGACTGGCAGATAGCGGTCCTGAACTCTCTGTAGAAATTGGGCCTTGCTCCTCAAGCCATCCTAAATTTGGGATTGGATCAAGCAAGATCCATGGTCAGGCAAAGAATAGAGAGACAACATAGAGAGGACATAGAGAGACAACAGGACCTGCTTGAGGTCCTGATTACATAATTGCAGAACACGAGAGAGATGTCGCTGTCCCGGAAACATACCTCCATTTCCTCATATCCAGAAATGCAAGAAGGGCCTTTACTCTTGACCCCCATCTGGTGAGGCTTGCTGACCTTCCGGACTATAGCTGTCAACGTTTCCCTTTTTTAAAGGGAAATTCCCTTATTCTGAATAGGATTCCTCGCAAGAAAAGGGAAAAGTTGACAGCTATGTTCTGGACAAGCCTAAACTAAATTTTCTCTTCTTAGGCAAAAATCACAAGATGACCCAGATGGTCGCCAGATTCTGCGCATAGATTTGTAGGTGTAGAACACACCCTGGAACAAATAGATCGCTAGGAAAACTGCCGTAGCTGGGCGTCCCAGGAGCAACCTGCATGTTAGTTTAACCTTAGGTCTTTTTTGTTCATGTGACTATTTTAATTTTAATCTATAAGCTGTTATTGTATATTGTTTTAAATGTCTACAGTCATACCTCAGGTTATAGACGCTTCAGGTTGCGTTTTTTTGGGTTATGAACCCGCTGAAACCCGGAAGTACTGGAACGGGTTACTTCCGGGTTTGCAACCCGAGCGTCCACTGTATTTCATTCTTGTGAAAGCAGTCTCAGTTGTCCTTCTTGAACTGGTCTTTGACCATCATAATAAATTACTACTACTACTAGCTGAAACCTAATGCAAGATATTGTCTACAGGTTTATGCTCATAAATCACAACACACACAAAAGCATTCCATCATTTTATTATGATATATAGGGTTTTTAGCAATATTAAAAATTCTTAAATTATTTTCTATTAGTCGAATAGAAAGACATTATTGACTAAAGGATGTGGGGAAATACCATATTTATATAGATATAAAAATAAAAAGGCACTGCAAAACACCTTATCACAAAATATAAAACAGCAGAAATACTTTTGTAAGCGCTTAGAAAGAGCAGAGCTACAAAAATAATTACATATCTATGTCAACAGAGCCATTAGCTACCTTCTAACTTCCCCTCTGACCATCAAATCAGCATCCACTGCCTTCTTTAAGCTCTGGAATTTTACTTTCAGTTTTCCGCAGATGTAGTGGCTTTTGTGAATGGGAAAGGAAAAAAGTGTCCCAAACTATTAGATAATTTAGATGTATTGCCAAATTATGATTTGCACAGCCAGAGCATGGTTTTGTCACAACTTAGGAACAGACAATTCGCAATATAGGTACCAAAACACAATTTGAAACAAGCCATGGCTTTCGGGTTCCTCTGAAAGCCATCGCTTGGGAACATCAGTCCACCCTAAGAGGCTGTTGTTTAAGATAGCATCTGGGGATTTGGAGGGTAGGTGTGGAAAGATGCCTGAACATCTGGAAGTAAGGGTTTGGAGTCTATGCTTAGTGCAAACCATGGTTTAAAAACATGGATTAAAAACAAATCCATTAATTTACTCAATGCCCATCCCCCAATGCTTAATATTAAACATGACGCCAAGGCTTGCATGTAGCATTCCACTTGGGCAATGTCTCGTTTCAACTGAGAACACCACATGGACTTTTTAAAAACCACCCAATCTAACTCGGTGGAGAAATTCCCATTCATTTAAAGAGGAATAAATCCTACTCTTTCCCCCTATGGAACTGCAGTATGAAAACATATAGTTACTCAGGGTGGACAAGCCACTTGCAATTTAAAAAAATACCACCTGAGGGAAAGAATTATTGGATTTGAGAATACAGGATACCTGCACCTGCTTTTCTGAAGAGAAACAGCTGCCTGAAAGAGGCTTGTAACCAGCCCCTCACCTAAGTGGCCTGCTAGCACAGCCATAAAGGGTGTGGCAATGTACAAATGTGTTTGGGGAATTGTGTCCTTTTGTGAAACGTCTTAAATGCTACAGTGTTTTGGGCCTTTTATTTGTGTATGTTTGTGTGTGCTGTAATTTAAACCACCTGGAGAAGGGTGTGGGGCTTGAGCATGCCAGGAAAAAGGCTGTTCTGCCTCATGAGAGTAAACAAAACCAAGAATGTAGAGGACTTTCTGAGGCTATCTGTTGCTAGACCTGAGCTTCATGTGCTATCAGACTCATGAACTTGAAAAACTTGCTCTCTTCAGCTTGCCCGTGTGTTAATTTGGGTGATAAAAAGTCAACCACAGCCAAACCACTGGATTATTTAAAGTGGCCTGAACTCTGGTCATAGTCACGCCATACCTTTAAAGCTCTCCTACACTGCTTGAAGTGACATGTCTTCTCCCAAAGTGTTACGGCACTCTTAACAAGCTACAGTTCCTTGGATTATTTGAGGGGAAACCATTACCGTTGAAGAGAGATAATTTAAATGTCTGGTGTGGGTGTCATTCTACAACTAGGGCTAGTAACTTCTTGATTTCTTAAACAATGAAAGTTGGGATTCTCGGGAAATTCACCTTTACATTGAATACCCACATCTTGTGCTTTTAACGTGCCTGCATGGAACCATGCACTTTTAGTCTTCATTTAACACCAATAAATTATCTTTCTGTCACTGTCTTGTGTGTGCAAATTTGGTTGTGTCTAAAGACCAAATGCTACACAATGTCTTCTTCATTGGCTTGGCAATTCACATACATGTTAGTCAAAGCCCATTCTTATGTTTTCGCTTGTGTGCAACAGTTTTGCTTTTCTCACATGCTTTAGTGCAAGGCGTGAGCACACATTTGGATCTAACTGCTTACATGATGATAGCTTGGTGGGAAGAGTAACACCATGCATGCACAAGTTCTCAAATTCAATCCCAAGTTTCCCAGTTTGAAGGCTGTGGAGGAATCTCTCAGCCCAAGACAAAAGCACATCACTGCTACCCATCTCAGACAGTACCAGGCTAAACAAACCAATGGTCTGAATGAGGCCACTCCACACCATAAATGTAAAGCACTCTTACGCCCCTTTAAGAATCATGGCTTCCCCAAAGATTCCTGGGAACTGTAGTTTGTTAAGGGTGCAGAGTTGTTAGACCTTTAAGAAAGTGCAGTTCCCAGGATTTGGGCAAGGGGCAGGAGCCCTGACTCACTGTGCACTTGTGACATAGGAGAGCTTCATATATTAATTGCCACCATACACGCACCATTTTTTGTGGAATGCAGCCAGTTTGGGTAAAGGTTTCTGTTTTCCATTTGTGTATAGAGTTGTGAAATATAAAAGTTTTAGAATTAAAGCATTTCAATACAATATTCAAGAAAGGTTTGGGCACTACAGAAGTAAGGCACTCAAGATTTTAGAAGCTGTGCTTAATTTACTCAGACTGAATAGCTGGCAATCTCAGGGTGGGGGGATAAATACATAAAGTTCTGTCACTTAAAAAAATAGCACCCCCCTTTTTAATGGGGCAAATAGTTCCCTTAAATGTACAAAATGTGCTCTGAATGCAAAATTAATAATATCCCTACACAACACAGCATAGATAAAGCAATTCTAAAGTCCTACCTCAAGCATTCAGGTCTTCAGTTGTATAAAAAGCTTCATCTTATATTTGCAATTCTTCGGAATCTGGCAACATATAAATTTTCTATCACCCATTATACTTGGGATATCATGGGTCTTGCCTGGCTAAAGTCAATAGTAATTCTGCTTTAGTGGAACGGCATGTGCAGATGTTAAGTTATAGGAGGGGGCTGGATGGGTGGAGAGTTCAGACTATGGTGTCCTTCCAAGTGATTAGAAGAATTATTATTCCTCTCTTTTCCCCTCTCCACATTTCTGATGTAGGATAAATTTGGATAAAGGTTTGAAGTCTTGTCACCGCTTGGCAGGATGAGCAGACAACCATTTACCCCCTTGATGAGCTTTTGCGACCAGTTGGGAAACTAGCCGTGTGGAAGAGCTCCTTCCTTCTCTTTGCAAAGATACAGCAGTTCTGGAACCGTTTAGCAACATGCACCACTTGGCGCGGACAAGCCCTCAAACTTTCTGCCACAATTCCCCACAGTGCTTCTGGGAAGCCCACAAGCAAGATGCAAGTCAAACAGCACCTGTGATTCCCCACCCACAAGTACCCCAAGGCATGCTGATAAATAGGCATCTGCATTCAGCATCTGTAGCAAATAACCTTTTGGCTGTTTACCTGTAACAGTTCTCTGTTCTCAAATGTGGGATGCATGCATACATGATGTACCCTTAACGTACATCTTTAATCTGAATCCAATAATTTAAAGGCTGCCATTTTCCAGTAAAGAGCTTCACCCACCCTCCACAACACACACTTTTTAAAGGGATGGGATGGAGGTTGATTATGCCACACAACATGGCTTATAAATTAAAAAAAGGTTCAAACGACATTTGCCATCACTCAGCATGGAAACATTTTGAGGCAATAGCTGTTGCAATAAACAAAACTAAGGCCTGGGTCTCACTTGCATTTTAGTCTTGAAGTCAGGAAAAACAAGCCAGCATTGCAGAAAGAACAGTAAGATGTTTGTGATGAGCCAGTAAGAATCCATTCATGTATAGAAGCTATATGACACCCACCCACCCACAATTTATTTTCATGAACTTTTCTGCCTTCAATAAGACCGGCATCATATATTCTGAACACTTTTAAAAAATCTGCATAATAGTTGCAAGGTACATGTGCAGTTGACTTAAATGCACTCTTTCCTCCATTCAAAAGAACAAATATGTCTAAGCAGCATAATGGATATGTAATAATTGTTGCACATTAAGATGCACAATTTGTGTAACCATGCATCTTTCCCCATTTGAAAGGACAGCTCTTAAAAGCAGTATGTATAATGACCATCAAGACAATTGTGCATTGTATGCACAACTGTCATTAACTTAATAACTGCTTCCACAACTAAGTCAATACTTTCTAGTCCCTTCCCTTCATTCTGTTGTCCATACAGTCACTTCCTGTTTCATCCATTTACTTCAGGTTTACTAGGTTTGTGAATCTGCAAATCCGAACAAATGTCATTTCCCCTCCTCATACCCCTAAAGAGCTAAGCTTCCCTTCTGGGAAATCTTGGCCTGAGTTTTACAGTCCTTTACTCCAGAAAGTAAAAAAAAGGCCTTTGGTCTCAAACACCGTCTTTTAAAAAGCTATTATCTTCCAGATCTTTAGCAAAAAGTAAAAAAATGCAGCCTCCTGAAGGAATGAGTCCACATGTTAACTCTTTCCCCACACATTCAACTATACGTCCAGCTATTTTCCATATGTTATATCCACACAAGGAGGCAGGTGCCCAAGGAATCTTCTCGTTGGCTTCCTTTATAAAGGCAGCTGGTTGCCCAGGAACTGTAAACGCCTGGTTTCCACGAATGGCCCCTGTGCAGCAGTGATTTGGCAACTCCTGCTCATTGGCAAAAATGATGCCCTTTGCCTTTCCACCCCTATCTATTGTGCTGGGACTTCTACTTAAGATCCCAGGACAAAATTAATGTTTGATATGACTAAGAACTGCCTGCCATGATCTACCTGATGTCTTTGCAAAGCCAAGTCTTTGCCAAACTGGAGATGATCTTCTGTGACACAATCACTTTCTCTAAGGATATATTTGGCCACATCCTACATGCTACAGAGGGCCCACACACTACCCTATAGTAAGATTTCTAAATGGCGACCAAGTAACGGAAGGCCCTCACTACTGAAAATGCATTCAAGTGCTAATTAAAGAGGTTTGATCCGAGGCTGAGGGGAACCAGAACCAGCTTCTAGCTGCTTCAGCACATGAGAATATCTCCCTCAGCTGCTTCTAGGAGCAGGGAAGCTACTTGGCATATCCAAGCCTGTGTGTGAAAAATGAATGATCCTGGAGCCATTTAATGGATGCCCTCAGCCAAAGGCCATTAAGTCTTAAAAGGCTGCTCCTCCAGCGCAGGCCTAAGCCTTACGTTGATGTTGTAGTCAAGAGTTCTTCAGTAAACAAAACACTGCATTAAACATTTTCTGTGTAGACAATGCAGGGGCTGTTCTCCTCACAAAGCTCTAGCTGCACACTTGAGGCAAACCATCTTTTGGCAGAACCAAGGCTATAGTTGAGTGTGGTCCGGTATATGTTCTTGGCATGTTTGGGGAAGATGATTGTTGTACTCTGGAACCTCAGGGGTTTCTGGCGCGGCTCAAAGATGAGTTGGGACTTGTAGTTTCGCCATGTGCAGTTGGGGGCAGCAATGACGGTCTCGCTGTAAGTGGTGACAGTGGGCATTGGGCAGTAGAAAACATCATCCCTGTAATGCCTCTCAGAACCATATTTTACCTCAGAGTTGCACCTGAAATTTAAGAAGGGGGGGGGCAACAAGAAGTCACACACAAGAACTTCAGTGGAGCCCCAACAAGATCAAACCAAAGACCTGCTCAAGTCCCACATCCTATTCCCCACAACCATATCTGACCCTGAGTTGCAAGTTTTGGGGGGCCTGTGGGCACATTTGGAATACTGAGAAAGTGCCGTAGGTCCCACTCATAAAATGGCTGCCATAGGGGCATGGCATAAAAAGTAGAAAAAGAGGCAGGATCACCCCGTAACCCCCAAAATTTTGTCTAGCAGGAAATGGATTTCTTAGCAACTCTTGCAGCACTTGTTTTTGCCTGCCCCGTTCAAGTCTTGTGAGAGTCACACGAGAGTTGGCACTTTCCCCTTTCTGGATAAAGGATGTTTACGGCTGCAAACTCACCAGGGTTTCACTGGAGCTGAGTCTCGCCGGCTGGGGCCTGATCCTGCCCTTTTTACTGCTTGTGCGAAGCAGAGATGGCTCACTAGAGTGCATGGGCATAGCCAGGATATATTTGGGGGGGGGAGGCTTTATGTTGGGGGAGCAGAACCGAGTTGTCTGTGACACAACTGGTCAGTTAGTTATTTTTATTCATTTACTTGATGGGGCAGCTGCCCCTTGCACCCCTTGGCTACACCCACGTCTACCGCCACACACATGTGTATAACAGCGATCCTCAGGTTGCAAAAACCTCGGGATCCAGCCGGACCTCCGGAACAGATCCCATTCGCAACCGGAGGTACCACTGTATGTGATTAGGCAAATGTAGCCAGTGGTTGCAGCCTGACCAGCCCAGCAGAATTAGGGATTTGTTGGCAGTGGGGTGGGGCAGGTCCTACAGGGAGGGAGACCAGGAGTGGTGCCAACTTGAAGAAAATATTGGGGGGGGGAGGTAAGCCCCACCCCACATAACTGATCACATGACACAGCACACACACATCATTTGAATCACAACGCCCATCAACTTTGGAAGGACCAGTTGTATATCCCCCATCCTGCGTCTGCTCAAGTGTTGTTGTTTTTTTGGGGGGAAACTCAGTACCTCTCTCTCATATGGACACCGTACCTGATACAGAGCCATGGGGGACCAAGAAATGGCACCTTGCCCCGACTCTGTCCCATATTTGGGGGTGGGGGGAGTTGAGGTGGCAGCTCAGGGCAGGGACTTGCATTTTCATCCTCTGCTGCCAAAAAATGATGGTATCTCCTCCTCTTCTCACTTTATTCCAGTTCCATGTTTGAGCCACTTCCATGTTTGAAGGGCAGTTGGCAGGGAAACTAATGAGAGATGGAACCAAAATGTTCTGGAACAGAACAATTGCTCATGAGTGAGAACTGGGGGAGTGACTCAGAGGTTGCCTGGGGCGCAAAATACCCTTACGCCAGCCCTGCTCATAAGCAAACACCAGAATAGATTCATCAAGTCTGCTTTTGCAACGATCAGGTAAGGAAACCTTGGAGGCTGGTATCCACATTTTCTTCAGGTCTTCTCCACTTACACATCTTTTGTCAAATTTGTCTGATTTGTGTCTTGGAGGGGTGGGGAGTTAACTGGAAAAAACCTACATCTCCCTGCAAATCTGGTGTTTCAATATCTAGCTCGTCTCTCTGTGTCTATAGTAAGTGTCCTAAAATATTAGCCAAAGCTGGAACAGACTTCACAAACAGATATCTAGATAGATCCCTGTTAGTTTTCACTGCATTCTTTCACTGCACACCCAACTTGAAGAAGCAGCTTTTATAGTCTGTGAAAAGCATCTCTGTCTTCAAAGAAGCAGGAGGGACACGCAAAGCATCCTGCTGCCAGGTTGCCGTAGGGGTTTTACATGGTTTGATGCTTCCAGATCTTGGAGGCGCAACCAAGCAGCAGCTGAGGAATTTGCAGCTCTGTGTATAAAAAGATTAAACGCTGGGTGTGGCGCACGGCATTTGCCAACGCCCTGGAGGAGGCTTGGCCCACCAAACGGCACACGTAACACAATCTGCTTAATGAGTTTTGCACAGCTAAGCTCAGAGGCCAGCAAGTTGCTTGGTGCAGACAGCAGGAGCCCTCGATGGCAATTGGAAAAACATCCTTGTCAGTGGCGCCTTGAAATTTCAAAGGCTACTCTTTAAAAGTTGGGTGCATGGGTGGCATTGACACTGGGTAGAAAGCTGCAGAAGCATTTCGGCACACCAGCAAGCACCAGAACATCACTGGCTAGCACCAAAGGAAGGTTGAGAAGAACCCCAAATGAGAAATGTCACTCGTTGCATCAAAATCACATTGGCTTCCCTTAAAATGTTTTGGAAGTTTGACCCACTTAAAAAACACACTTGAACTTAACCTTACATTTTTGCCTTTAAAAGCAAAATTCAGCAGCAATGTCAAGGACTCTCACTGCCATTCACTGATGGACAAGAGTCTGATGTCACCACTACTGTCATGCCCACATATGGTTGGGCTGTTGGGCTTTGCTAGGAATGGAGACCCTCAGAGAAGAATCTGACCACAGAGCACTGGAGCAGACTCCAAAAACATGGAAGTAGGAGATGGGCAACTCTACCCCTCAGCACACAACTTAAACCCTCACAATATAAGACAGAAAGACTAGAAGATGGAGGTGGTAATTTCTGCCTATCAGAAGAATTCCAGAATGGTGAGAGGTCAGAGCAGTTCTTTGCCATCATTAGAGCAATGGCTAAATTGTTCACTACCATCCAAAGGGAGAACCATGATCTTGGGATCTCTGGGTTAGCGGTGTTGTTGATTGGCACAGCTTTAGCCCTAAATGCTGTGAAAATACCCAAGCCCAGCAGACACCTGGGATGATTATGAAAGGTTTCACCACAAGTGCGTACTTCAACAAATACTGAAGTATGTCCTCACTTCAGAAATGGCTGGTAGGGCAGAAGAGGCAGGAAGGCCAATGATAAGCTTTTTTGAAAACTGTAAATTGCTTTTGAGACAAATTGTTTGTAGTGGAAAACAAATATTATAAATAAAAGAAGTCAGTAGGTGGAGCCGGAGCCAATGTCAAACAGAGCCAAACGAATTATTGTTTTGTCCTCCTCTTCTTTCATACTGAGTTCCACAAGGGCAAAACTGAGACTGAAGAGGAGGAAGCTGAGAGGCAGCTCCTTCCCGTTGGACTGGGTGCAAGTAAGAAGGCTGGGAGCTGGCTGCGGACAGACAGAACTTGATGGGGCAGTGCCTCATTTGCCCTTAACGGACCAGCACCCACTGCCCGGTCTCCAAGCAAGAGTGTTTTAGTTCATGGATCTAGCCAGACAGCCAGTCTCCTCCAGGACACTGTAAGCTACAAAGGACACGAGAAAGGCACAACACATCTGGTTTTCTTTTCCAGCAGAGATTGGGACTGATGGTACTTGCCTAAGGTCACGTAATGAGTTGTGTTCATGGACCAGGGCTGTCCTGGTGCACAGCTCAGTCTCGTACACTTGCTTTCCTATACGATCTTGAAGTGGCCCTCTTGTCACTGCGCTAGCTATTGCTTTTATTTTATTTGTTAGATTTAGTACCCCTTCCCCATGACAGGTTACAGCAGCATAAGATATCATACCAATCCTACTTCTTTGTTCCACCTGGTTGAGAGCACAGGCCCATCTTCTACACAGAGGGAGAAGCCCTCCCAATGATTTGGGACCACAACACCCACCATCCCCAACCACTGGCCACGCTGGCTGGGGCTGATAGGAACTCGAGTCCAACGACTTGTCAGCCTGGATAGCGCAACAACGCATAAGTCTGCTCAGCAAAAGGAGATTCAGGAAACGAGACAGCCTACAAATTACAGAGGTGTGAGGGACAAGGGATTTGGGGGCTGGCCCCCTGACCTTTTGTGATCCCCCCTTAGCTAGTGTTTTGGAAATCTATAGAGGGGAAAATTTGGTCAAAACTGGAAGGAGCTGGAACATCTGGATTTCATTAAGGACCCATTCATTTCACCTACCTACCCACCCACAATAATCAAGCACTGAAAAAGAATGGACAGCCAAATGAAAGCTGTGACGGGTGCAAGCTGCCATGGCAAGCAAGGGAAAATTCAACAGAAATCTTCCCCACCCATTGCGAGTTGAGCTAAGACAAGGAGAGACAACCTGGTGCCTCCAGGTGTTGCTGGACTGCAGCTGCCACCAGGTCCCAGCCAGCATGGCCAGGGGTCAGGGGGACGTGAGCTGTGGCCCAGCAACATCTGGAGGGTATCACATGGGCTGTCTCTGAGCTAAGACCACCAATTCACTGAGTTCAGGCCGCTCAACAGCTGGCAGTGATTTTCTGCCTCAGATCTGAGATGAATTCAATGTGAGATCTAAGCGGTGACCCCTCCATCTCCCCACCCCTCACCCCACTCACACTCTCCTATTATTCTACACCATTCACTCTTTTTAATTTCAGCCATTCCTTCTTCCCCTCACCCCACCCACAGCTCTGGCTAAAACACCCACCAACCCATTCATAAACACCACTAATCTTTTGCAGGAGAAAGCAGGAACACAAAAGGAAGCCCATACGTTACCTAATTTCCTGTGCCGGTTCGGGGTTGACCTCTATGCTTTCACCAAAAAACACAGGGTGCATCCGAGGCCTTATTTCTGATGTGGAGGCATTCAGAAGAAGATAAGGGATCTACAGGGCAGGGGGATGGGAGGAAGAGCAAAATGGAAACACATGAGGAATCTGGAGCCTGCTGAGATGTTTACAGTTGAATCCGTGGTTAATTTTAAGCATAGGTAAGAAAAGCTATTGCTGTGGACCTGTTTAATTCTCACAAGCACCCTAGTTCCTATGAACACCCGCAATTTTCACATATGGTACAGGCCAGCTCAGACCCGGGCCAGTTCCAGAAACACCATGTGTGTAATGGGAAAACATTTCACACTGCAACAGTGCCCTGCTTGTGGGCTTCTCACATACATGGAATTGTGAGGACACGATGCTAGTCTGAGCCAGTAGGGCTCTTACATTCCTAACAGAACACAGATGTGTACAAGGGTATGCTTCAAGTTAGCTTTCCACCTCAAAATCAGTGCAGAACAACATCAGGAAACAGAGGTCCAGATCAAGAAGGCTTAAATATGCATACAGTGTTCCAGGATGCAGAATGCAGAAGTATATGTTTGGGAAGCACCGCAAGGCTAAACTCTGCTCCTAAACAGATGTATATGAAAGCAAGTGTTAATTCACACAACTTTTTTCTTATTGTGAAGGTTACACGAGCTGACTTTTTAAACCATGTCTATCTGAACTTGTGGATGCTTCAATCTGTGTCATCTGGAGGTGTGCCATTACGTAATCAGCTCTACATGCACTCTTTGGGCTTAGGAGGGGGGATTATTCGTTTATTCTTGTTTTTATTATGCATTTTGTGTTTTTATCGTGTAGTTTTATGCTGTGCACCACCCTGAGATCTATGGATGAAGGGCGTTAAACAAATTTAATAAATAACAATATTAATAATTCTTATTATCCGCACCACTGTTTGCCCCCAGAAAAACCTGATCTTTAGCGCTGAATTGGAACAAACAGCAACTGCATTTTCTGCAAAACTGCAGTTTGTTCCAATTTACCGCAAAAGAGTGGGTTTTCCGGGATGAAACAGTGGGGCAAAGGCTAAACCGCTTGGGCCCATGCCTAGAAAGCAAGGGGCAGGTGGGAAACCGTTCAGACCAATGCTCTCTAAGCAAGGGACAAGCGGAAGTGTGGACGAGCCCCTTGTCAGTTCCAAAGGGTTTTCATTGTCACCTGCCTCAGCTGCTCCAATGTTGGAACACCCACAGAATACACTTCTTTTCTGGGGGTTTATTCAGACTTCCTTTGGTGCTGCACTTTCTTTTTCATCCCAGCCTCCCCCACCCCCAGAAAAACCTGCACTTTACTGCTGAATTAGAGCAAAAGGCAATATTCCATGCATTGCCATTTGTTTTGATCCAGTGGTGAAAATGGGTTTCCCCAGGGAAAGTGCCAGGACCAAAAAGAAACCTCACGCAGACATGGAGCTTCAAAGTGTGGACCTGTGCCTGGAGAGCAGGGTGCAAAAGGAAGTCTGGACGAGCCCCGAGTGCATTCAGACAACCAGCCTTTCTTTTCCTTTGAGGAGGACCAGTTGTGGAAATCCAAAGGAGCAAGGCTTATGAAGGGAACATGTGCACACACGGCTCCACTCTCAACACAGCTTAAGGGAAGGCTCACAGCTTAGGAGCAGAACACAAAATGTTGCAGGTTCCACCTCTGGCATCTCCAGGTAGCACTCTCTGAAAACCTGGAGAATTGCTGCTAGTCAGTGTAGACAGTACTGAACTAAGGGGACCAGTGGTCCGACTTGGTACAAGGCAGCTTCCTAAGTTCTGACTTAGTTGCAGAAAAAGAGATTTCTGACACTCGTCCATAGTTTGGCTGCATACTCTCTATTCTCATGGGGGGCCCTAGACATTAGCCATTTAACTTCCATGTTCAGACAGCGCACACTTTTGAATGCCATTGCTAGGGAGGGTCATGCCCTTTGCACAGTGCTTGCATGCCAGAAGTACCCAGCTGGCCACAGCTGGAAGCAGAATGGACTAGGAGAGAGACAGTGTGGTGTAGTGGTTGGAGTGGCAGAGAAGAACCAGGGGAACCCAGGTTCAAACCCTTGCTCAGCCACGAAGCTCACTTGTGCCCGTCACTTTCAGCCTAACCTACTTCACAGGGTTGCTGTTGTGAGGATAAAATGGACGGGAAGTGGCATATAAAGGAAGCTGGTCTGCAGCTAGCATAGAACAGTGTCAATAATTTACCATACTTATTAATTGCTTTCCTCACAGAAGTGACCCAAAGTGACTTGCAGAAAATAGTGGCATTCTGAGTGGGCAGTCTGTACGCAAGGCTCCCTGGATCAGAGGAATTCCGTGCAACATATTCCCAGGCAAGTATTTGAAGACTGGGTTCTAAATCATAATATGTTCTAGCTGCGACTTTCAATACTGTTGCCCAGTTATTATTATATAGGATAGATTGCTCCAAAAAAAGTTAAATTCACCAGCCACTAGTCCACATAAAGGTATTCCTCAATATTCAGCAATCATTATTAATGATGCCACAAGAGCATTGGCAAGTGCTTCTGTACGAAGAGTCTGCATTGGCTGCGTCTATATTACCAGGCCCAATTCAAGATGTAGGTTTTGGCTTATAAAGCACCAAATGTCCAGGTATTTGATACCTTTTCCTTTATAGACTGAGATGGGCCATGAACCCAGCAAGGTAGGGACAGGGCCTACTCTGTACTGGTGCCCCAAATGTAGAACTCACAACCCCTTTTATTAGATTTTTTTTAAAAAAATACCCTGCCTTCTTCCGTGATGGGACTCAAGGCAGCATAGAGATTAAAAACAAGAACTAGAGGCACAGATAGATACGTTGACTAAACTTTAGACACATGGCTAGAACATACCTGATCTCTCAAGCTTTTTGAAATACAGTATTTAATTTATTTCCGTTTCAGCTGGTGCTTAAGACTTTAGTTTATCCGATCAGCTGCTGTTTACCTGTAATTGCTGTAAACTGGATTTTAGTTTATAGTACTGTACAATATGACTAATCTTTATATATTATGTTGGAAAACACCTTGTGGTAACTGCATAATGAAGGGCAATATATACATTTCCTTAATATTATACTAAAAATAGCCAAAGGTGACTTTTTGATCTGGTCACACAGGGCTCTTGTGCTATTACGATCTATCTTTAGTCACTTGTTACCTAAAAAGGTCTCCAAGCAATTTATATTTAAAAACAGTAACATAAATATGCTACACCATAAAAAAACCCAAAATCATATAAACATTAAACATTTTCATATAACATATAAAAAATAGTCGTCCCCCACAGAACAGCCTAAGTTATACTTCATTATGTCCCAGTTCTAGTGAATTCCACCCCCACAGTGACTGTAAAAACATCTGAGGGTTAGGAAATTATTGGTTGTCTGAATCCAGCTTCTGTCTTTGTCTTCCCCCCCCCCCCAACACACACTGGTTTGATGTGCCATCCCTTCCTGGCTTTTCCCCCTGCCTCTGCCTGCCCCACACACACCCCTTGCCCCTTTCCATCTGCTTGCCTGCCCAGCTAGAGCTCTCGGAGAGCCAAGGTTTTTTGTTCTGGCTTTTTGTTTTTAAAGGACCTGCAAGGAGGCAAAACCAAGCTTAACCGCAAGCTTCCCTCCTGCTGAGCTCAGCAAACAAGCCCATCCCTGTTTCACAGATGTTTCTGGGTTTTTGCTACATCAATGAAAACCGTATGGGGAGGGCCCAGGAGAGTGGGTTTTCTGACATGGCTGAAATTAAATAACTGCCTTTTTGCCATCTTCATTTTGATCAGATGCTCCTGTGCCCCTGAGGCTTTTAACGAGAGCATGATGAAGGTAACGTGTCGGGCGCAAAATGCCACATGGGAGATCGTAAATAGAGCTTCTGAGGATCCATTGCGAAGGAGAGAGGGACAACAAACATCTCTACATCCCATCCAGGGTGGAGGGAGCATCAACAGCAACAAGGGACAGGGCCTTCTCAGTGGCTGCACCAGTAACTATGGAACACCTGGCCCACTGAAGTGTGGACGGCTCCCTCTGTGGCAGTTTTTCACAGGTCAGCAAGGGCATTTTTATTTTGGCAGACTTTTGCTTGCTGAGTATATGCTGCTTTATGCAAATACTATGTTTACACACCACTTTTTCCAGTAGCGACAACATAAAGGTCTCTGGGGTTGACCATCTCCACCCACAGACAGGGAGGTCCGCAGTGTGCCATCCATGGATACCGGTGCCCATTGGGACTGGGAAGACAGAAGGTAGGGAGAACACTAGTGGGTGGAGCTAGAACCAACGGCAGGCAGACCAATGATGGTCAGAGCCCACAAACTGGTGTGGCTGCACGCTGAAGGCAGACTGAGATCAGTGGGGCAGTGCCCCATTTGCCCCAGTGCAGCAGCCTCCAATGCCAGGGACCATAAAACTGGCCCTTTACTCAATGGCACTGTGGTTGGTTGTGTGTGTGTGTGTGTGTGTGTGTGTGTGTGTAGCCCTCATGAAAATTCATCAACATTTTAGTGGAAATTAATCCTACCATACACATGTTTGTATGCAATTCTGCCCAAGATACACATTTTTGCAAAGCCATTTCCCCTTAAATAACACATTTTTGTATATTATTTTCACTAATATAAGCATTTTTATGGACATGTCTCTCCCGTTATATGCATTTTTATTCACGTTACCTGCCTGGAGAACTGCAAAGAAAATTGAAAGACGTGTGAACTTTGAAGAATTGTTGTGTTTTGGTCCCCATATAGTTTTGAAATGTGCAAATTAGGTAGGTTTGCCTTTACATGTGAACGCAATTCAAATTTCACCTCCTCTCCTAGTCAGAGGAAGGGCATGTTCAGGCTCAGGGCTGAAAACCGCCCTCCAGGCTTCCTTGCCCAGCCCTCAGGGATGGGTGATCTCAAATCAGGGGCCTTGGTATATTTGTATTTACTTTTTGTATTGCGTTTTTATCTTGCCCCTTCCACTCAGAAGCTGAAGGTAACAGTGTGGCTCTCACCTCCTATGTTATGCTCACAAGAATCCTTGTTAAGCTGAGAGCGTGACTTACTCAGGGTGTCTACCTGTGCAGCTGATGTGAAAAGGGCAAATCCCAGGTTAGAGTTCACTGTGAAAGAGATTGAAAAGAAAGCACCCAATATGATGATGATGCACAAATGTATAGTATGGGTGCACTTGGGAAACTCTGGGGAGTTCTAGTCTCCACACCTCAAAAATCATGGAACTGCAAAAAGTTCAGGAAAGTGCAACCAAAACGATTAAAGGGTTGGAGCAATTCCTCTATGAGGAAAGGTTATGACATTTGGGGTTTTTTAGTTGGTTCCAACCCTGACTGTTTATTATATTTTTGTTCTTTCCCAAAAAAAGCTCAGGAAAGCACCCGTATGCTGTCTAATCTTCACAACAGCCCTATAAGGTAGGGTAGGTTAAGAGACAGTGGCTGGCCGGCTGGCCCAAGGTCACTCAGTCAGTTTCTTGGCAGTGTGGGGATTTCAATGCAGGCTTTTGCGGTCCTAGCCCAATGTATTAACCACCACACTGCACTAGCTCTCCGCACATCACTCTCTAAGCCTGCCTTGCCCAACCTGGTGCCCTCTGGGTGATTTGGACGACAGCTCACCATGGCTGTGCTGGCTGGAGCTTATGGGAATTGAAGTTCAAAACATCTGGATGATAAGTAGTCGGTGGTGGAATTGCATCTCCCAGCTCAGAAAGCTTGAAGGTAACAAAAGGCACTAAAACGGCTTCATCCTATAAAACTGTGGTTGTTTTGCTGTTGTTATTATTATTACTAATTAGTTACTTATTTTGCTTTTGCCTCACTTTGTCCCAAAACACCTCCCAGCAGCATACCAGAAAGCTCACTCCTAAAGGTTGAATCACAAAAAAGAAAAAGAAAGATCTTTCCTCTCCAGGCAACAGGGGGAGGATTAAGGCAGGCAGAGAGTGGTGTGACAGGACCCCATTTGCCCAAACGGAAAAACCTTCTAAAGGCTGCAGCGACATTCTCAATTCACCAGGCACATTTTGCCCCTGGCTATCAGCCGCTTGCAACCAAGTGAAGATGCCTAAGTGCCAGGATGGCACCTGACGTCTTCACCATCTGGAGGTGCCTGCCTGGGGATCCTTGGATCTGGACTCTTTTCACACACTAATACCACATCCTGTACAATTCTATCCATTATATTTTATCGACAAAATCAGAATGAAAAGTTGTCCTGGAAAATACAACTTTTGAGCTGTCTGGCCCCAAAGTGGCAACTACTGTAGATATTCCATTTTGGTGACTGTACCCCTGGTTTAAGGAGCCATTTGTCACCTAGCTTATATACCTGAGCTTCTAACACTGGCTGTAGCATCTCCCAGGCAGTGAGGGACCTGTCCAGGCCGACCATTGGCTCTCTTCAACAGGAAGGGCTCCAAAGACTTCCTGATTGGTCAGGGGCTGTACGTGGGTAACCAGAGTCACTCCTGGCTTGCTCTCTGGTTTGACCTTCCCATGCTGACCCATGAATCCTAGCACCTGGCTCCCACTTGGTGCAGCTACCTGTGGCTGACTTGTGGCAGCTCCACTGAACTGATGGACCAAGGAACCTGCAACATTCATGATTGAGGTGTTTTTTAAATGCTCATGATTCCATTTTCCTCCTTCAACACATTCCTATCAGCCCCTTTGGGCTTCTGCCAGGAGCTTTCATTTGGGGTGGGTGAGGAAATGCAGATTCAGCCCATTTTAAAGCAGTTTGTTCTGCCCTGCAATTATCAAGAACAGCTGGTATACATATACAGTGTTATGGAAAACAGCCTCTCTGGTGTGCCTCTTGCATCGTATCCAAAAGGGAACTACAACCTTGCTTAGTGCTGGCCTGCCTTCAACCCTGCTTACAAGCATCAGTAAGGAGTGGGGTGCTTGTAACGGAGCAGTTTATTAATTTATTTAATTAGGTGGGGTTAACTGGAAGAGTTCAGAATTTGAAGGACATTAAAATGGCCTTCCCTTCTAAGAATGAACCATAGTTTTAATTCACATTTTAATAAATGGTGCCAAGATGTCTCCAAAGAGCTCTATGCAGATAGATCATCTGCTTTGCATGCAGAAGGTCCCAGGTTCAAAATCCCCGGCATCACCAGACAGGGCTGGGAAGGTCTCTTGCCTGAAACCCTGGAGAGCTGCTGCCAATCTGTGTAGACAACACTGAGCTTGATGGGTCAATGGTCTGAATAAAGCAGCTTCCGATGTTCCTATACTGACGTTTGGATAATACAGTGGTACCTCGGGTTACGGACGCTTCAGGTTACATACGCTTCAGGTTACAGACTCCGCTAACCCAGAAATAGTACCTCCAGTTAAGAACTTTGCTTCAGGATGAGAACAGAAATCGCGCAGCAGCGGTGCGGCGGCAGCAGGAGGCCCCCTTAGCTAAAGTGGTACCTCAGGTTAAGAACAGTTTCAGGTTAAGAACGGATCTCCGGAACGAATTAAGTACGTAACCAGAGGTACTACATGAGAGCCAGTGTGGTGCAGTGGTTAAGAGCGGTAGTCTCGTAATCTGGGGAACCGGGTTCGATTCCCCCGCTCCTCCACCTGCAGCTGCTGGGTGACCTTGGCCTAGTCACACTTCTCTGAAGTCTCTCAGCCCCACTCACCTCACAGAGTGTTTGTTGTGGGGGAGGAAGGGAAAGGAGAATGTTAGCCACTCTGAGACTCCTTCAGGTAATGATAAAGCGGGATATCAAATCCAAACTCTTCTTCTTCTTCTTCTTCTTCTTCTACTACTACTACTACTACTGTATACAAGTGTAATCCATTAGTCAACTAATAATTAGGGCTGTAACATTTCATTTTAACAGGAATAAATTTTTTCTTATTCCCTTTAATTTTTATTCCCTTTAATTAATTTTTAAAACTAATTTCTAGTTATTGTGGAAAGGCAGTAGAGTTGCAAGCACTCTCTTGGGCCATCTTGCCTAAAATGCCTCAGAGGAAGGTATGGGTTGGCCATGAGCCAGGTGGGCAGGTGGTGTCAGCTGTCCGTTGTTTGGGCCGGATGGCAAGGCAAGTGAGCAGGGGCTGGCAGGGACAAATTTGCCATTGATTCAGCTTGCCTAATGGAAGGGTCGGCCTATTGCTTTCTTTTTACAAAATTTATAAATAAATATCTCAGAAGACAGAATCAGGATTCAAGATGACCTTAACAGATTGGAGAACTGGGCCCAAACTAACAAAATGAATTTTAGTAGGGACAAATGTAAGGTTCTGCAGGAATAAGCAGATTCATAAATATATGATGGAAGACACCTGGCTTGACATCTGTACATATGAAAAGGATATAGGAACCTTCGTAGACCACAAACAGGAGTCAACAGTGTGATGCATCAGCACAAAAAGTACAGTCATACATCATGTTACGTTTGCTGCGTGTTGCGGCTTTTCAGGTTACAAACGCAGCAAACTGTTCGCCCCGCGTGCATGTGCAGAAGCGATCTGCGTGCTTCGCACACACACAGTAGCTGCACTCTACTTACAGACTCTTCGGGGTGTGAACAGCACCCCGAAATGGATTGCATTTGTAAGTAGAGGTACCACTGTATGATGTCCCAATTACGGGAAGTCATAGTACCTCTCTGTACTGACTTGGTCAGACCTGGAGTCCTGTGTCCAGTTCTGGGCACCACAGTTTAAGATGGAGATTGACCAGGTGGAATGTGTGCAAAGGGGGGCAAGCAAGATCACAGAATCATAGAACTGGTGAGTTGGAAGGGATCCTGAGGGTCATCTAGTCCACCCCCTGCTATGCAGGAATCTCAATTAAAGCATCCATGACAAATGGCCATCTGGATTTGCACACAGCCTGTTGATTAAGTGTTCTGATTAGAAGCCCCAATTAGTTATGTATTTCTGCTGGGAGAGGGGGAAAGGAGCAGGACAGGAGCTTGTTCCCCTCTGTGTCTACTTATCTTTAGAAAAAAGAAAGAAATACTGAAAGCATAGGAGAAACCGAACAAGTTATTTGACCCTCTCAGCACAGCAAAGGAGTGGGAGGAAGCTGTAACACGAAAAAATGCAACATAGCAAATTTTATTCACTAAGCAGACATCACCTGTTCTTGCTAAAAACAACCAACAACTGAGTTATGAACTGACAAAACTTGTGGGATGAAATACACTTGCAAGAATGCAGAAGAACATTGTGGTTTTTCCTTTCTTTATGAGCTGAATGGCAATTTCTAGGCTATCCAACCCATACGGCAAACACACAGAGCATCCTCATGGCCTAACGCACCTCAGAAAAATGTTTGCCCAAGAACATGTCAGCAAACCTGATGACGGAAATGCCACAGAAAAACAAGGTAAAAAGTACACCCCCCCCAAATAAATGTAGACCCTCTCCTTGTGGGTGTATAGAGACCCTCTGAATACAGAGTTCAAGGGTCTGAGGCATAATTTCTCTCCCCTTCCTCCCTGCAGTTCACACAACATGAATTGGAAGTTAGGAATAAGTTCATGCTTGTAAACAGCCACTTGCCTGGTTACCAGCCGCAAGCAAATGTCCACCACAGGCAACTACACATGCGAAGCCCTAGAAACATTGGCTTCTGGTTTCTTTTATACCAGAGTTTCTCAAATTTTCCCTCTGTGGACTACTTAATAATTGCACAGACCACTTAATATACTTATTCTGTAAGTTGTCTGGGGAAAAGGCTGGATGATGATGATGATAAATGTGTGTTGTGATAACTGTGGGCTTGCCTTTCTACTCTGATGGACATGCTGTTCTTTATGAACAAAGTGTTCCACAACCTTCCAGCAAATAATCTGAATAGAAGTTGGAGGTCGCCATTTGAGAAACTCTGTTTTAGACTAGGGCAGCTTTACTTGGATGGTTCTTACTTGTTTAGACTTATTTGCAAGACTTCACAAACGCCTGCAATGTTTGCCCATGGCTGTCCTAATCTGATGATTAAAAAGTCTCCCTAATGTTTCCCTTTACTCTCCCCCTCAACTTTTCTTTTCAATATACCTCCTGCTCATTCTCCTGCTGGTTTAGAAAGGCTGATAGAATCCCAAAATATCCCAATCTTCTTTCTTTGGCAGTCAAGAAATGAGACAAAGTGGTTGCAGTGGGAAAACAGGAGCGCAGCTGGCAATCAGCTGCAGAAGGAAATAACAGCTTTTCTTCTCCCTTGAATGCTAAGACTGGTAGCTTACCTTTTAATCATGCTCTGGATTTTAACCAGCTGATCTTAAAGGAAAAAGGGCATAGCACCCAGCCTAGACTCTAAAGGATGTCCTGGTGGTGAATTGTATGTTTTCAGAATTGGAGTCAGGCTAGTTTAGATGGGGAGAGGGAGAGAGAGAGAGAGAGAGAGAGAGAGAGATTTCTAAAGCAAAACTGCCACCGTCATTTTCAATAACCACAGACAGGCAAAGTCCCGAAATTCCAGCAACACAAGTGGTCTCCTGCTCCAGTACTTCTGGCCAAAGAAAGTATCCAAAGCCAATGCCAAGGAATCCAAAATCCATGCCAAGGAAACACAAATACGCCACTCAGAATAAATTATGGAAAGCCAAGCAAATTTCCGTAAAGTTACTTATAATGCATAGTATATTTTCGCTGGGGATTTGCAGAATTTGACTCGTTTTTGGCAAGGCTGGAGGGAGGCACAACAGGAGAATAAGGGCAGAAGATACACAGCTGTGCCAGGCACAGAAACTCCACCCTGACCCGCTGGAAACCTGCCCAGAACCCCTCGAATTCCTGGCCACTTCAACCGTCTTCCTATTTTCATGCTTTTCTCTGCAACCGTGAGGGCCAGAAACTTTTTTTTAAAAATGAAGCCAAGATTCCAGCACTTCCCCAAGTTTCTTAAAATCAAAGAACGTAGAAGGGATGCTGGAAGGCTGGTGAATCTTCAATGCATGATGCAGCTACAGCATCATATCATGAGATGCTAGGCAGGTCCAATCACTGCTCCAACACCTCCAGCGAATGAGAGCGCACCACCTTCCAGGGTCATCTGTCCTGCTGCCAGACGGTTCTTGCACATAAGGATGTTCTAATGTTTAGCCAAAATCTGCATTGTTGTCATTTCTGTCCATCACTCCTAGTAACTACTGTCCTCTTCAACAACAGAGAACAAGGCCACGTCCACACCATACATTTAAAGCACTCTCATTCCACTTTAAACAGCCACAGCTTTCCCCCAAAGCATCCTGGGAACTATATATTGCTGTAGGTGTTAAGAGTTTGTTAGGAGAGCCTCCCCACATAAAGCCACAATTTCTAGAGTGCCTTGGGAAGACATATTGATTTCTAAACCACTCTGGGAACTGTAGGGGTCTCCTTAGCAACTCTTGGCACCCTTCACAAGCTACAGTGCCCTGGATGCTTTGAGAGAAGCCATGACTGCTACCATGAGTTGCTACTTTTAACAGTAGTATAACAGTGCTTTCAATGCAAGACGTGGCCCAAGTCTGTGCCATCTTCTAAGACATAAGGAAAGCCTGCTGGATCAGGCCAATGGCCTTTCTAGTCCCAGCATCCTGTTCTCACAATGGCTGAAGAGATGCCAGTGGGACACGTGCCAGCTGGACCCAAGTGCAACAGCGCTCTGCCCACCCACGGTTCCTGGTCTTCTGCACTTGGACAGTGTATACTGATGAAGGCAATACATCAAGTCTTACTTCTCATCAACCCTTATTCATGTTTGGAACACAGAATCAGGAAAGACGTAAGGAGTCACTGCTTCAATCTCGCCACAATAATACAACTTCCTGTACTAATTAGTACCACACGTGCATAGTAATTTCAACGGTCCTGCATTATACAAATGGCGAACTCACCACATCGTTTCAAACTAACCTAGTGGACCAATTCCTTGTGGCCAAATACAGTGGTACCTTGAGTTAAGAACTTAATTCGTTCTGGAGGTCCATTCTCAAGCTGAAACTGTTCTTAACCTGAGGTACCACTTTAGGTAATGGGGCCTCCTGCTGCCGCCGCACCACTGCTGTGCGATTTCTGTTCTCATCCTGAAGCAAAGTTCTTAACCCGAGGTACTATTTCTGGGTTAGCGGAGTCTGTAACCTGAAGCGTCTGTAACCCGAGGTACCACTGTAGCATAAAATAATTTTCTTCTGACCACTGAAGAAGATAAATTAGTTTGAAATGTATCTGGTCTCTGAAAAAAAAATGTTGTCATCTTTTGGTCATAGATGGATTTTGATCAGACTTTGACCTGAATAGGCAAATCAGTTTGTCATTGTATCATATTTGCAATTTTATCTGTTTTGACTACACATTTATATTTTTACATTGAATTAAAGTTGCACTTCATTTTCCTATAGTATGAAGTGGAAGCATTTAGAAGCATTTCAAATTTTTCACTCTTATGCAACTTAAGTCTTTCACCATAACTTTCAGAAACATTTAAATTCTTCTCTGTTCCCCAGGATTCTTCACAATGCAACTTTTATTCTTGGTAGTTGCTCTGAGGCAATTGCCCATATAAACATTGAAAACACAAGTAAAATGCTGTACAACTACAGCCTTTTAGATGGGCCCTGGAGGCTTATGGTGCCTTCATGTCTATTTAATGTGCATTAATATACATTATATAAGCATGGCATGCAGTTTCCTCACACAATGGAGACTTGTATCATGCAAGCAAGAAATTGCTTCACTACTATGAGCTGCTTTAGAAGTAAAAAGATCCAAGAGTGTCATATCAGACTCTAGAAGTGTCTGATATGTCATATAGCAGAGGCAAGGTTATGCCAAGTAGGCTGAAAAACTCAATGTGTCACTTGGAGAAGGTCCTGTTCAATTCTGGGCAGGAGTCTCACCCACATTAAATATCTCACAGTCCCTGGGCTCTTAAATGTGGATCAAAATAACTGCAAACTGCAAGGCTATGTCTCCATGGTAAAGGGCACACATTGAATGCAGTTAGTGCCATATTCCATCCCTGGCATCTCTGGACAAGGCTGGGAAGAAGCCCTGTCTGAAACCCCGAAGAGAGGCGGCCAGCCAGCAGAGGCCATACTGAGCTAAATGAACCAGTGGTGTGACTCAAAGCAGCTTCTTCTATTCATGGGGAAAACCTGCTGGAGGAAGCTATGGCATTCCACTGCTGCCCACTGTGGAGGCAGGCTACCTCTGAAGGTTGCCTCCTCCTGAGTAAGCTTGCTCAGGCGTTGAGTTATTATCAGATGCCCCGGACCTGGTTTCCCCAACTAAATAGGTGAGAGCCTTTTCGGTGGTGGTGCCCTGACTGAAATGTCCTCCCCAAGGAGGCTTTCTGGGTGCCTATGTTAAGATCCTTTTACCACCTGGGGAAGACCTTTTTTTAAGAGCCAGGTCTTTTCTCCCTGAGAAATTATGCTTCTTGTGCCATTATGCCTGATAAGCCAGATATGAAACAGCTGGGACAGGACACAGCTGTTGGCCTGGAGACTCCAGAACTCCTTCCAACTCAGGAGGAAAGATGGGCTGGAGTCCTGCCTGAGCAGCAAGTAAGCTGGGAGAAACTGCTTGGCGGAGGCTGCAGTGGCTAGCAGGCAATGCTTGCCCATACCCTGGCTGGGAAGCTGGCTGGAGGAACCAGCAGGGCACATGGCGGCGGGGGGCAGTTGAGGAGCAGGCAGTGCCCAGTTACCCCATGGGCATAGTATGGCACCACCAGCAAAGTGGGGGCACTCCCCATCTTCTTTTCCCTCTTGTTTGTAAGCAGAGTTGCCAAAAGAATTTCAGAATACTGCCCCAAACTTTTCAACCAGGGTCACCAGAGTGACAGAACTATAATCATTCTTCCCATTTCTCTTTAATAGGTCTTAAAATGAAGACTAGGAGCCCTTCTTCTCTGCATTTAGAGAGATACAAAGAGAAACACAACTTCCTACAAACAAAAAATAAATAAAAATCCAAATGCAATGTATATAAATGAATATAAAGAGAGCTCTTGACCCTTATGGCGGATTAAAGTGGCTATCTTTCATTTTGCAAGTTCTGTGCCATGAAGGTAGCCAAATTAAGGCTACAATCCTAAACATAATGATTAGAGCATAAATCTCACTGATTTCAGGAGGATTTACATGCTTAAGATTGCAAAAAAAAAAAAAGATACACTCACTGTTAGGCAACAGTGACCACAGAACCTACAGACCACCACCGGGCAAACCAAGTCACCTAATCTGCACCCTCTCGTCCTAGTTTTAAACAGCTAGTGCCACTTTGCAGACAGAGCAGAAGATAGGATATGTTCTGCAGTGGACCTTAGAATTCTGGCTTTCCCTCCTTGGAGAGATCCTTCTGGCTCCTCCTTTTTCTGGTATTTAGATGGGTACCAAAGCCCCAGGTGCTTCCGCAGGTGTTTGAGTTTTATGTGTTGTTGAATTGGGACTTTTTAGCCGATTTATTTCTGATGATTCTAAATCTGTTGTGATAGTCTTCCTCCTGTTTAACGGTGATATTGGAAGAGCGTCTGTTTTATGATGTAGTTTTTAAACCAGACTGTTGGCCACCCTGAATACAACACTCCTTTTACCAGTGAACTCAGCTGGTGAGTGCCAACAGAGCTGCAGCAAAAACGGTGCTATTGAGAAACACGAGGGAGGAATCTGCATGTCCAAGAGAAACTCATGGTCTGCAAAAGCAGAAATAATATTTTACAGGGCAGCAACCTAAGCAGGCGAACTTACCCAACCCTCCACAAAAAAAGGCAATCCGATGAGAATGGAGTAAGCTCAGTGAACCCAGGACTCTGTGCTAATTTGGTGAAGATGGGGGAAGGAAAATGAAAAGGGGTTAAGAATGCAATGGAGCATTTTGGAAGAGGGCGTGACTGGCTCGCTGGCACACTGAACAGGGTTCCTCTGTGCTTCTACAACTTGTTGCAGATCCCATTTGCAAATGACAGAAAAGCAGGGTATTACCTGGGAAAAAATCAAGTGGCTGAGACCTGCCGTGCGCAAATGAGAGGCAGCAACTGCTGCAAGAGATCCTGGGCTCCATTTTCACATGGGCTTACGCCAGAAGAAGCTGTTTCAAAACCCAAACAGTGGCGCCCCTGCCATGCCTATTTGCTGTCACCTGGTGTTGGGCGAGGAGAGACTTGTGGCAGCAGCAGCAGCCAAGAATAGAGCGTACGCTGGCACCCGCAGCTGAATTTCCAGGCTCTCCAGAAGCAGGCACAGAAAATTGCTTCAGATTTTCTGCCCCGCAAGGCTTTTTCTTGCTTGGGCATGGATTCTGAGTCAGCATCCAAGGCTCACTGGCCTGTGAGTCAAAGGCTGCTGCTTAGATTATAGCATCGCATACAAGCCATTCACAAATGGCTTACAATTAATGGTGGGTTGTTTTTTTAGGGGAGGTGAAGTTTAACTAGCCAGTGTTGTGTAGTAGTTAAGTGTTGCACTAGGGCCTGGGTCTGATCTGCAGCCAGTCACATTTTTTCTTCTGTTGGCCCGCTGGCAAACTATAACTAGAATACATATTGGGTAGGGTATCCAGAAAAGCTTATTTACGACAAGAAACTTTTGTGGACTGATGAAGGAACTCAGGTTACCTGTCTTACTTAGAGCCCCTGTGTTAACGTGTTAAGGCAGCAGGCTGTGGAATCGCACAGATCTCTTGGTCAGGCTTTTGGGGCTACAAAAGGACATCACTGCCCAAGCTTGAGATAAAGAATGCAGTGGGAAGGCCATCCATCAGCGCCAGCAAAGGTGCTCCGCATGCAGAACACCCCAGGTTCAATCCCTGGTATCTCCAGGGAGGGCTGGGGGGAAATCCCTGGCCTAGAGAGCCTCTGCCAGTCAATGTAAAGAACGCTGAACTAGGTGGGCCGACGGTCTGACTCTGCATAAAGCAAGTTCTTATGCACACAGGGTGGAATTATTTCCAAAGAGGCCGCTCTCCGAAACACAGCAGGGCAATCACAGTAACGTGCACTCAGACACCCAAGTGGCGAATGAATTCTTACCACGTTCCCCTCCTTGCCATCTTTCCTGTGCCCATGTCCCTGGGTATCCGTGGAAGAGCTGCTGCCTCCAGGTCTATTTTCAACGATGCCCGGAGACAGGGAGTAGAAAGGTGGACTAGGGCTGGGGGGCAGCCCTGAATCCGGGCTATCCAGCAAAACTTCTCTGTTCTTCTCTTTCAAGCTGTCTTCCATTCCTTGCAACTGCAGGTGACCCACCATGACTGGGGTGGGGAAGTGAGGGCTGTGGCTGCCAAGCAGGGGGAAACCCACCACCTCCTCCTGCAGGGAGGCAAACGCACGGGGTACATGCACAGGGAGTGCCAGCCGGATCCCTGTGCGCCTGTTGCCTTGGGTGACTCAGGGCTGGTTCCTGTGGCTGCAGCTGCCCCCTGTTGGAAGGAGAGAAAGTGGAAATGAACAGACCATTCTTCATCAACACAAAAAACAAAAGTGCAGAAGAGAGGGCAGATCTCCAAGTACACCTGGGGAATAGCCTTTTTTGCCTGAGACCCAGGTGAGACACTACCAGTTGGGCTAGCCCAGGTGTGGGGAACCTTTGGCCCTCCAGATATTGCTGAACTACAACTCTCATCATCCCTGGCCATTGGCCATAGCTGCTGGGGGAGTTGTTGCTGGCATCCGTCCGTCTCCAGAGACAATGGAGTGTGCCTCCGGGGGTGAAGTCAAACCACTGCATTAGCAGCCCCAAAGTGACCTCCCTGGGGCACAAACCTGGGCAGTGTGCGTGGAGGTCCTGGGCTGGCCAGATGGCAAGAGACGCCCCACCCCCCGCCTCACTCATGTGGTCCAATGGAAAGCAGAGCACCAACTTGGCTGAAGGAATTGCCAGAATGAGGCATACAGGCCACCCTCCAACCATAGGGACTCCACTCCAGATTTGTGTAAGGTTTACTCCTTAGCCTTTTCTTCTTCTGAAGATATTCTGCAAGGCAGCAGAGGTTTAGGATCAGTGTGTTCCTCCTCCTAGACGGGCTCCCTTCCAGGTGGAAGAGCCCCATCTGCCCCTCACTTCCCTCTATAGCACTGCAGAAACCACTGTCTTGGCCACTGGACCCACTATTGGTCTTATCCGCTCAATCAAGACTATATAAAGCATTTTTTAAATTAAAAAGTGTTTCCTTTAAATGGCAGGTGCACACACAAAAAACAACCAAGTGGAAACCTCTGCATGTTTTTGAGTAAACATACATCTTTGGGAGAAGCAGAGAGCTTGAAAGCTGGCTTTACGCTCTGAGTCTAGGTTATTGTGTTTAGGATTACAGCTATGGGAGTAAGCCCCAACAAACTCAATGAGACTTACTTCCAAGCAGTGCATTGTGCTTTGGGCTACAGTCCTATGCAAAGTTACTTGGCAGAGAGCCCCATTAAGTCAAATGGGACGTACTTCTGAGTAAACATGTAAGGAACTGTGCTGTAAATCTAACCTGTGTTGAATTAAGACAGGAGAGGCCAGATTCAAATCCCACTAAGCTATTCAGGTTGCCAGGTGCCTTTGGGCCATTCCCTATCTCTCAGCCTGACTGACCCGCCTGCCTCTCAGAAGCGTAGAGCTGGAAGGAACCAAAAGGGTCCCCCAGTCCAAACCCCTGCAATCCCATGTGGCTAAAGTGGATGGGGAAAAGTCGTGTACACCATTCTATATTCCTTGGAGGAATGGTTATATATAAAACAAAGTAAGAATCCCCCAAATGACTTGCAGAGAGTGGAAGAGAGCCAAGGCCTGCCTGGTCCAGCATCCTGTTTTCCACAGGGACCAATCAGATGCTTCCAGGAAGCCCATGGCCAGGGCAGGAGGGAAACAGCTCTCCCATTCTGGGTCCCAGCAAGCAGCTTCCAGGTGCAGGGGGCCTCTGACAGCCTTCGCCTCCTCCACACACCTTTCTAACCTCCTTCTAAAGCCATTTGAAGCTGGCTGCTCTCACCACATCTTGCAGCAGCACGTTCCACAGATTCTTACATATTTCCTACAGATTGTCCTCCTGACTCTCTTGCCCTTCAGCTTCAGTGGGTCTGGCATTAGGAGGGGCGGAGAAACACTTCTCTCAACTGCCTTTTCAAAAGGCCCACCTTTTAAAAGTAGCTTGCTGTACAGCACCGGGTGAGAGGGTGCAGTCGCTGAAGAAGCAGAAGCCCAAATCCCTCTTGGGGGCCTCGGAATAGTTCCACAGTGCTTTGGATCCAAAAGACTATATTCCAGTGCTCTGGGTCAAATAGAAGAAGAAGAATCTAAGAAGAAGAAATCTCAGAAGCTGCTTCAGGCCAACAGCCCGCCTAGTACAGCATCCTGTTCTCACAGTGGGGATCTAGTTGCCTGTGGGAAACCCACAAGAGGGGTTCCAGCTTCCTGTGGTTCCCTGAAACTGGTGTTTGGAAGCATCGCTGCCTCCCACTGTGGAGCAGAGCAGAGCCATCATAGCTAGTAGCCATCAATAGCTCTCTCCTGCAGGAATCTGTCTAGTCCTCTGTCAAAGACAGAGACAGTCTTGAGTGGATATACGCTGAACTCTTCTTCATCTGCTCCCAGACCCCCAGTCTTTCCAGTTATCCCTCTGATCCTATGCCTGCTTTTCCAGAAGCAAACTCTTCGCCTTAAGATTTCAGTCTTAGAATAAGTCCTTTTGTGGACAAGGCTCCTCAAGGGTTTGCCTGCACCTGAGCTTAGTTAGGAATGTCCTTTAAAGGAAAAACAAACAAACAAGGTCGCATTCATGAGCTTCTCCAATGTAGCAAAAACTAAGCAGTTCAGCAAATCAAAGTCTGGACAAATTAAACATCTGAACACTTGAGTCTTCTATGCAGTAAAATCAAGATAGAAGACTGTAGGAATCAGGGGAAGTTGGTGCAGAGTTCTCAAGAGGGGGCCAAGCACATTTAGAGAGGGGTGGGGATAGTTTGCTTATTTAACTCTCCCCTCACACTTTACTAACCTTTTTCCCTTCATGAACTACCCCCTTCCAAAAATGTATTTCCCCCCCACCTCTGTCCCCTCCTGGGGCACAACATTTCCCAATACGGGGCAGATTTCGGGGACGACTGCCCTCTTCGGACACAAAGAGCCCCCCGCGGGAGAGGTGCCCGGCGCCCCGTCCCGAGCCCTGCACACCCGCCCCTCGCAAAGCTGCACGGGGGCGCCCGGTCCCTCCAGTCCCGCCACCGAAACCAGTCCGCCCCCCAAGCTGCGCTCGGCGGAGCAGGAAGGGGCAGCGGGCGCGACCAAGGCACGCCGGGGGTCTCCTCGCCCAACTCCGCTCGCCGCCCCGGAGGCCCCGGGAAGAGACGGCGCCGCGCTTCGGCTGAGTTTCCAGGCGGGAAGGAGAGCGCGCCCAGCGCAGGGGTCTCTCCGGCGCCCGCCCGCTTCCTCCAGGCTCGGCTCGGCTCGGCTTCTCCCCCCGCCGCCAGCGAGCAGACAAAGAGCTCCGCGCCCGTCCCGTCCTTCGCGCGGGGCCTCGCCAAGGAGCCGCTCCGGGCGGGTCTCGGCCCGAGGGGAAGGAGGCCGGCGAGGACGAAGAGATCCGGGCGAGCGCCCCCTCCGCCCCGCGCCAAGCCCGGCCATTTACCTTGAAGCCAGCGAGTCCCCCTGCCGTCCCCGACGGGGCGCCGCGTCTCTCCTCCGCCGACGCCGGGCCGCCTGGCTCCGGGAGGACTGAGCGCGCCGAGCGGGCGGAGAGAGTTACTCCACTGACACGGCGGCGGCTGGAGCTGCTGCTGCTGCCGCTGCCGCCGCCTGGCTTGGCTCCATCTCCGGCCACCAGGGAGAGCCTCGCCCGGCCCCCCGGCAGACCCCTCCCCCTCGCCGCCGCCGCCTCGCCCGGCTCCCTGCGCGCGGGCAGGGGCAGAGGGGGCTCCCCCCCCCCCCAAGCAGCTCCCCTCCTCCAGTCTCCGCTCTCCAAACTGGCTTTTTCTGCTGAATAAATTGGGAACAGGAGGCAACATGTTGGGAAATTATACACTGCGCTATCGCTGATCCTGCTGCCCGGGACTGCTGGAAGTTTGGGGTCCAGCCTGTTCGTTTGTTGACAGGAGCAAGCGCGCAGTAAATCACACCAAGCAAATTGGAGTTAACTGTTAGCAAAAACAGGATCTGCACAGCAGGAGTGTCAAGCCTCATGAGCACAGCTACTCATCTCTGGTCTGTCTTGGCCTCATAAAGCATTTGCTGAGAGTGAAGGCCATCACTTTGCCTCCTCTCTAGGGTTTTCTGCAAGCAATTTGAGACTGTGCCTGCATGACCTCCTGGCTTCTTCAGCAGCCTGCCTCTTCTCTGCCTCTTGGCCTCCCTCCTCTCCAGCCTCCACTTCTGACTCTCTCTGAACTGCGCTCTGCCACAGACTCTCCCATCTCACGAAACCCGGTTGCCTCTTCAGCTTCCAACACCTCCTCCCAGTCTGTTACCTCATCTCCCTCTAACCACTCGTTGTTGTCCCACCACCAATCCCAGGCTATAAGTCCTCCCACCATTCCCCTGCGTCCAACCATTCCATGGCATTTATTATTATTTCTAACCTCCTCTTTCCTTCAAGGAGCTCAAGGTGCCATATGCATGGCTCCTTCCTGCTCCGTATTATCTTCACAACAACCCTGTGAGGTAGGCTTGGCTGAGACTGGGAGACTGGCCCTAGGTCACCCAGTGAGCTTCCTAGCAAGGGGGCAACTTGAACCCTGGTCTCCCAGGGTTCTGATACTATATCCATCACACCACACCCAGTTCCTTTACCTCTTGTTTAAAATTTGGAGAAGAGAAGAGAAGAGATACTGTGTTGACATCATGAAGAGCATCCATAGGGTTCCTAGACTCCAGTACTGGTACTAGCAGATGCGTGTTATGCGTGCTGCAGTGAATGTCTAAATGTGGATTAACGGAGAGAGGGAGGAACTGTTATTGTTATGCTTATGTCAGGGGACTCTTTGGAGAATCTGATGAAACCTATGCCCCACTACATAAACACATGCACAATATATTTGCATATAATTTACTTTAGTATATTGGAAACATCTCTCTGTGTGTGCCAGGTTCACGGCTCCCCTGACGCCCATACATTAACCTACTAGGGGTTCTTAGACCCCAGGCTAAGAACCCCTGGCCCATGTGCCTTGGGCATTTAGGTTGTATAAAACTGAATAAAAGAGAAATGATTGGTGTCATTATTAAACAATGATTTTGGTAGTTTATAATGGATTGGTACACAAATATGATTATGATGTAATTTATATGGCTGTAGATGGACAGATTACAGTGTTTATTTCTTTATTTCTTTGTTGCATTTATATCCTGCATTTTCCTCTCAGGAGCTCAAGGTGGTGGGCACAGGTCTCCCCCCTCCCCATTTAATCCCCACAACAATCCTGCGAAGTAGGTTAGGGCAGAGAGGCAGTGCCTGGCCCAAGGTCACCCAGTGAGCTTCATGGCCAGGTCCTGGTCCGACACCCTCACCACTACCAGTGGCGTTGCAATGGGGGAGCGTGGGGGTGGGACGCCCCGGGTTCCATGTCTTCGGGGGCTCGCAGCAACACAGCAGCCATCGCGCCGCCACGAGCAGAGGATTCCAGATGCCGGCAGCAAACCTCTAAATACAGCGCATGTGTGTCGTGGCACGCATGCGCTGTACGTAGCGATGCTGCACATACGCTGTATAGTGGTTTGCCACCGGCGCTGCTCAAGCGCCGTACAGAGGTTGCCAGGCTCCTCCATTTGCGGCTGTAGTGGTGCCGGAGGGATCCCAGCACCGTCTGTATAGCGCTGGAGCAGTGCCAGTGGCAAACCGCTATAGGGCGCATGTGCGGCATCGCTACGTACAGCACATGCGTCATACGTAGCAACGCCACACATGCACCCTACGTAGTGATGCCCACCCCGGGTGTCACAATGCCTTCCTTCGCCCCTGACCACACCACCACACTGGCCTACCAACCTCAGCCTGTCTTCAGTCAGCCCTCACCTGCCTGCCTGCCTTCCACCTTGGAAGCAGTCTTGGGGGGGCCCTGTCTCTCGTTGGCTTTGGCGCCCTCTACTGTTGGTCTGCCTGCCTTCTGCTCAATGGGCACCAACCAGCCACCACTGACAGATATAAACTTGCCTCAAAATTCCTACTGATTTTGCACCCAAGACTGCAGGGCTGAAATAATGGGGTGGGGGGCTTAATGAAACCCAGATGCCCCTCTCCTGTCTCCTTCCAGTTTGGGCTACATCAGCCCCCCCCCCCCCATGAGAGGGAAATGGAGGCAGGGGATAAAGGTGTGTTTAGTCAAAGGCCTATTTAGTTAAAGAAGAGTTAGAGGTGAATATTTTAAACAAATAGACTTGCGACTGCAAGCCACCCAAAGCATTTGGAGTATGGCTGTTTGAATAAATAAATGATCGCTGAATGGGGGCAAATGACTCAGTGGGTCAGGTGTGACTTGAGCCCCTGCTGATCCTGGTCCAAGTTCTTTAACTGCCTTTCCCAGATTTCACCTACACCACCCCCCCAAGGAACTTCAGTGGCCGTTTCCTCTGCTGTTTAAAAGGGGCCAAGTTGCCAGTAAAAGTTGCTCGATGACATTTATTGAAGTTCAGGTCAAAGCACAGACCGTGGTGCCCTCATCCTACCCTCAGCTGAAACCAAGAGCCTTGTGCAAATTAACTCGGGTGATTTGTATGCAGTGAATGTTGCCGAAAGGTTTGGCAGCTTTATAAATGCGAAAGAGCCAACAGGCAGCCCACACAATAACCCCAGTGAATTATTACGAATGACCCCATCCGCTGTGATTTTAAGTCCGCTACTGTAGAGGGATTTGGCCTTGCATGCAGAATGCAACGATGAAGCAGCAGAAGTTCCCAAAGAGTTGCAATTAGGAGCAGAGAAGGTCAGATCCTGCCATGTATTGGGGACTCTGTGATTCCTACAGGACCAATGTAAGACATTTTGCTGCCTGAGGCAAAGGACGAGGAAACGCCCCTTCATCCTGTTTCACAGGCACACAAGTCAGATAAGCAGGCAGCTGAATCTTACTTCAAAACTGGTGGCATCCTTCACTACACCTGAGAGCAGAAGGCTAGTTTTAGGGCATGCAGGGCAGACACTGCACTGTCTTCCAGCTACCACCCACTGTCCCCTAGACACACCCTTTTAACCATTTTTAAATGTATTTGTTCAGTGTTGTTGAGCGCACATTGAGCAGCAGGTTAGACCTGATGACTTCCAAAATCTGCTTCAACCCTAAGATGCTATAATTCCAATCTGAGCAATTTAACAGTGCAGCTTGAGGTGCAGTTTGTAACAGTGAGTATTTCTACTTGGGTGGGTGGAAAAGTCTTGTCATATGCCCACCCCCTCCCAGAAATTTTAAAAGTCCAAACCACTATTAGCGTTTCCTCATTGAGAAGTCACCTCAACCCTTGGCCACTTGACCTTTCCCAGCTCTCCAGCACCCGTTTTGAGATGGGGGCAACCAACACTGCAGAGTCTCAGTGGCACCTGCAACAAAATATTGCACCTACTCCATTCCATTCTCCCTGCCTCTCAGTCTTCTCCAACCCAGTAGTCACCATTCTGTGCCCATGAACATGCTCAGTCCTCAGTGGGTGCCAGGCTGCTGCCAGCAACTCCCACGGCTGGTTGCCCAGGAACATACAAAGACAAGGAATGTTCTTACCGTCTGCTTTTTATTCAGTCTTTACAGAGAGAGGCTTTAGAACACAGCCTCTTAGATTAGCATTGTCTGGAGTGAATCTCCACCCTCTCATGCGTCATCCCTATGGGTGCTGACAAGCGCCCTAGTCTTTGAGTTCTTTGCTCTCCTACTTTCAAGGCTCGCCGGGTTCTGGGAGAGGTGGGTTCTGGAATGCTTTCCAAAGACACTGTGTCCGTCAGCTGTCGCCCCCTGGTGCTTCCTCTTCTTCCTCTCCCATTATTTCCCAACTTTCCCCCTCATCTGCCTCTGAGCTGTGACCTCCCACAAACCACTGTTGTAACTTTCTTCCTCCTCCCTGGAAGGGTCAAGCTAGGGAGGCGGTCTTCACCATTCCTCCTCTGCCCAGTCCCTGACAGTGGGGGCTTTTACCACCCTCACTGGTTTTAGCCTGTGTGTGTGTGTGTGTGTGTGCGCACACACACATGCATGCTTCCTCTTGGTATGTGGGTTGGTGGGATTTGATTAAAGTTGAACCTACAAGATTCACATTTGCAAAACACAGCTATCCTTCAAAATCTGCATGTCTCCAAATTTTGCAGTGCTGTTTTCCAGCAAAATAATGTGTACAGAAAGGCATGTACTATAGTAAAGTGTGCATAAAAATGCACATATTTGTGAAAAGATCATACAAAAATGCCATATGATGGGGATATTGCTTTGCAATTTTGTACAAAACAGATTGCGTACAAAAATGTTTGCTAGAAGAAATTTGCACGAAAATGCTAAGAGAACTGCAGAAATGTAGAGAACTGAATTTAAGATTGGAAAAATGAGAAACTTTTGAGAACCAATGGCTAGGGCTGGTGGGGTTGTAGTCCAATGGTAGCAGGAGGGCTACAGGTTCCTCATCCCTGTTTTAAGTGATGCTCCTCCCATGAAAAAGAAGGTGAGTGAGATCAGTTTAATGGGTACCACTTTGCAGTACTTGCTCCAAAGAGATTCCAACTAAACACCAGGAATAACTTTCTGGCCATAAGAGCTGTTCAACAGCAGAATGGGCTCCCTCGGGAGGTGTCCACTCCCCTTTCCTTGGAGGTTTGTAAGCAGCGGTTGGGTGGCCATCTGCCATGGAGGCTTTAGCTGAGTTTCCACCATTGCAGGGG